GCAATCTCTGTGGGCTTGGCAATTTTTGTTAGCCATTTATGTTAAATGAGCTAAATTATACTTGTCTCTTTAGAATAGATTAAGAAGTTTAAATTTCTGTAAATCTTACTACTTGGCTCTTCCATGGGCAATGCAAATTGAAGTTCTCACTGGTTCTTACATAAGAAAAGCAGTGGCCATAACCCAAACCACCATCCCTTCAAAATAAGTTTTTTAAAAAGCAAGCAAACAAAGTTGTCCCTATTTTATAAATAGAAACAAGCCTCTGAGCGACTTGAAATAAAATTGAAATTTCATTTTATAAATTTTTGTAGACAAATACTAAACAGGAATGTAGTGTATCAAGACCATCCTGGTAGTTATATTAACAAAGGAACAGCAGCTAACCTTAAATAGAACCTATAGAATCATACTTTAGAAAGCTAGTCAAGGGCTATCCATGAAGAATGTCATACTTGCAAATACCATTTGACACCCCATCCCACCCCCTCCCCATTTCCTATTTAGTCTTATTTTGCCTCATTTTAACCAATTCCCTCCCTCTCTCCCATGCCCTTTGGTAAATGGCATATGTTTTGTTAGCCTGTGGCTGACTGCAGGAGCAGAATGCTCACTGAAGCTGAATAAGGTTCTAACTGCACCAGGATCCATACTCTGTTATTAAGGAAGGAGATGGACTCATGTGAGGGGTCTGCCTATCTTGCTTCCATCAGTTCTGAAATTCCATGCAATGCTGGAATTGACAGTTGTTCTTTTACGGCAAGACGAAGAAGCAGTGGCCAGTCTCACAGCTCTTGAAATAGATGAAGAAATGGAAGCCTGGTCCATAACAGTCACAAAATATTCTGTGTAGTAAGATTTCAGAGTCAGACGTTTCCAGATGGAAGGCCCCTAGTGTTTCTAATTAGAAGGTTTTGTACAGCAATTAGTTTCTTCTTCCATTTTTTGTGGTAAGAAAAAAGATGGAAAGGAAAACTTAAAGCTCTTGATTCTCCTTCTGGAAAGAGCCTTTATCCATTGAGTTCCCTGAAACACTGCCTAAACCCGCATGGCATGGTGTTTAGAGTGGGACTGAAGAGTTCTAGATTCCAGTCCCCATTCAGCCATGAAGCTTACAGGACGACTTTGTGTTAGTCACTCACTCTCAGCCTAACCTACCTCACCTAGTTGTTGTGAGAATCACAAGAGTGGTGGGGGACAGTCTAAGCCACCTGGATTTCCTTGAAATAGCAAAATGGTGGGATATACATGTAAATGTAAAAATGTGATGTAAACCACCAAATTTTTCAATACACAGAAATGTGTTCCCTACTTCCAGGCCTGAGATACAGTTTCTCAAGCCTTGGACAGCACTATTACCACATCAAGAGCTCCGTACTCCCAGATCTACTGCATGGGAGTAGGATGCTGGAGCCAGATGCCTCCTGCTGCCAGAGTTTCCCCCGAAAAATGTGTTTGAAATATATAACATAGAGATCACAATCTTTCAGCATGTCACCCCAGGGCAATGAGGGTGGGAGGGGCAAAATTTCACTGAAGAGATGTTAGTGTTTAAATAACTCTGAAGAATCCCAGCTGTTGCTGCTGTTTTTACTTAAACTGTACGTCCAGACACAACAAAAGATAGTTGCATGACAATCTTTTCCCACTATGCAGTTTGACACTGGACTAGAGCAATAAAAGCTTTGAACTCAATTGCAGAAAAAGGAAGAAGCTGGGAAGAAGGCTGATGCATCATATAGGCAGCTTCAGAAAGAAGGCCCGTGCTGCTGCTCAGATTTGCACAAATCAAGCTTTGGCTGACCAAAGGAGCAATAACTTAGCAAGGAAGTATGGGGAGAGGGCAAAAATAAGAGACGCAGAGTAAAACGAATTACAGGACAGACACCTTAGCTTCACTGATGGCCTGGAAAGCTGGTATTTTTTGCACCTCCTTCCCTCTCCCCTTCAGCAGCAGGCAAGTTATCAGGCTTGTGGGATATACTTTCTTTTTTGACTTGACTTGTGAAGGTCATCATCTAGAGCTAGGTTCATAATGATGGTTTGGAAGAATGGAGAATATGTTCCTGGAACTAAGGGTCAAGGGCAGCTCTGAGCACATGCTCATCCAGGCAATTTATTTTCAGCAACAGGAATAAACTGCAGGTCTATCACACACACACACAGGCACACAATCCGTGTTGTCTCTTTCCTCCCCCACTCTCCCAAGCTCCCTTCCACCTCAGCAAACTAATTTAGAAGTAGGGAGAAGCCTTAACAAATATTGTTCTTAAAGAATTGTTAGTCAGAAATCTACTGAAAATTACCCAGTCGATCCCAATCTACCTTTTGCCTGCCCTGTTCTCATCCAAATGACACCGTTTTTCCAAGAAGCTTTGGAAAGCCAAGAAGAGGGTGCCTGCTTCCTTCCACAGTCTTGTTTCTCTTAACTTTCCTGTGTTACCAGCTTTGATGGCTTAAAAATTTTGTGTAATGTCATCATATCAATACTGGAGAGATTTATTAAAATGATAAAAAATAAAAATAAGCTCATTTAGCACCCAATTAGGCAGCAGCATAACATATGCTTTGTACCAAGGAAGCCCTGAGTTGATTCTCCTGCATCTCCAGTTAAAGCAACTCAATTAGGAGAGTGCATGAAAATTAATCCAAGTAAGTTGCAGAAGCCCTGCCACCAGCTGACAAAACCAGGATATGTGAGCCGATCGTCTGACTCCATATAAGCAGTTTCATATAGTCATGATAAGCTCCAATTGTTCCCTGCTGCCATTTAAAATATATATTTCTTATTTCAGGAGCTTAAAAAAACTGATACATAATTCCTGCAAGTACAGAAATTAAAAGAGAAAACCACTTTCTTTGCAGTCCTTAATTAAGACTGTCTCATTATTTGTGGCTGCGTATCTAATAATTTTGTGAGTCACCCTGGCTGGCAAGCAGGCAATCCATCTGCCAGCATCCAGGGGCTCGCCAGGACTTGCTGCTGACAGGCAAAGTTTCTAGGAATGCTGTCTTGAACATATAGCAACCTGTAGCAAGCTTGCACTGCTCACCTGTTGGAACAAAAGCTGAAGATAATGAGTGTCTGGACTAGGGATGCACAAGCTCCCACTGTTTGATGCCAAAGGGTACAAGTATTTGCAAATGTTTAAATTAAACACTCACAAAGAGCCAAAGGCTTTGCCAGTATTCAATTCAATAGCCAACACACACTCAAGGGCACTTAACAAAGAGTTGCTTCCTCTATCCCTGTCATCCCAGTTGACAGGAAGACAGCAGCAGGGACTGCAGGTCTCAAAACCCCTATCAGGAAACCTGTGCAATGTTATTTCCATCAACCAGGATACTTCTCTTGGCTTTGGGACAGGAAAAGGCTGAGGGGGATTGTAGGTGTCTCGATCCTGCTTGCACGTATTAGAGCAGGAAGTGAGTGCTCCTGCTCAATGCTCCTGAAATCCCTAGTCTGCATTGAAACCTTCCAATGCCACTGAGACAGTTTTGTACTGTGAATGATAACTTCAGCAGGTGGGAGTGAGTAGCATAAGCTTTAACAAGTGTATTTGTTCTTCTTCTTTTTTAAGATAGTTGATTGACATTTGCCTTTTCAGGTTTTTAGGCAAAAGAAGTGATTCACCCAGGCTTTTCCCCCACTTAACCCATCTGAAAATATTCAACTTCCACACCTCTTCATTGCTACTGTTGCCAAACTGATTTAGCACCATTTTCTTGAGACTTCTTACTCCTTTACTGCAGAATCCCAGCCAATCAGGGATCACAAGTAGAACTTGATCATGTCCACACACATTGGATTTCAGCTCCCAGAATTCCTAATCATTGGCAAGTGCTTGTGGGAACTGAATGAACAAATGGAAGTTTGTTTACCTCGAAGGAGATCTACTTTCTACTGCCCTGGTGAAGATAATACTTAGCCAGGTGAAGCAATGGTCTGACTCAGTATAAGGCAATTACCTAGCTCCATTTTAATAATCATTCACTGGAGAGAAAATTCTTTCTTTCTTCATTATGATTCCCAGATTTGGGTTGACTAGAAAGCTTTGAATAGCAGTCCTAACATATCAGAACAAATCCTAGTTTGGGAAAGGATGCCCTACATCTTTGACAATAACACATAATTTTTTAAAAGGAGAAAGTTGTCATTAATAGTTTATGTCAATAATTTTAAAATTCTTGCATAAACTGTATTCTTGTTTCTATGGTATAATCCAAGAGATTTAACTGTCTTCTCCATCCTTCTTCTGTGTCTTGGTGAATTCCCCCAACTCCACTGGAATAAAGGGTTGAAAAGTAAAGGTTTGTTTACCAACACAATATTTTGTTTCATAAGTTCTCTGGCTATTAAATTCAGCTGCCCCCTTTTTGTCCCTGGAGAAAGGGTGGTGATTAGAGTGCGGACTTTTAATGAGGAGAACAGAAACCACTTGAGAGCAGCATGCATTTCTCTGTGGGACAGAGAATCAACTGCAGTACAGCTTTACAGCTGGAGTGTTTATGCAATGCCACGTGATGGCAGAAAGTCAGCAGAAACAGTAAACTATTTGAACCAATATGCTTTTTGTATTTTCTTGTACCATATACAAGACAGAACAAAAGGACAATGACAAGGAAGAATGAATGTTTGATTCTAAGAAAGCAGGCTTCAACAGATATTTTTTATTTATCAGAGTCCATTGCCTGTGTTTGCTTTGAAGAATGCAGTGCTTTCTGATTTAATAGGTTAAAAGCCATGACACCAACCACATTAAGTACCTCTGCAGAAATGTGCCTCTCTTTTTAACAATGTCACTGAATCCAAAAAGACATACAGAGCAATCCATTGGAAGAATTCAATACTGGGATTCAGAATGCAAATAATCCATATTTCAGGCCAACTTCAGATTGCTTCAGAATTAAGAATTTTACATCTTATTTGTTTTATTTTTCTCCAACTCAAACTTATACTTATTTACTGTAAACAGCCTAGCAGTGTGTAAAGAACTTACCAAGGCAGTTATGGCCATCATGTGCCAGACGAAAACCATCATAGCAGGTACATCGATAATTCCCTGGGATATTGACACATTCGTGGACACAACCAGCATTGTCATCACGCTCACATTCATCAACATCTGTGTATAGAAATGAAAATATCAGGAATCTGGGAGAACATCAGAACCAAGAATGACCAGCTTCCCTCTAAACCAGTGCCTGAAATCTGCTGGAGACTTAAACTAGAATGTTTATGATCCCACCAATGCCTTTATGTATTTGTTTGACAAATGGTATTCTATTACAATACACTCAAAGCAGTTTAGAGCAAATCCTTGAAAACCACTAATCACTAAGGTCTTAACATGGTCCAAGACCTTACATAGTCCACACCCCATATCCTGTCAGAAACTGCCACTAAAGTTCTATACCAGTTCCTCTCAATAAAGTCACTACAGTTGTGCTCATTGTGAATTTTACATCATATACCGGATGAATGAATTGCTTCCATTGCCCAAAATAAGTCCAGAAACAGCCATCTGTTTTCCTCTTTTTGCAAGTTTCACATTCTTATTTGATCAAGAATTTCTAGGAGTCCCTGGTTTTCCCATGTTTTCAGAGTCTGGCCTTCACATTTGTGTTTCAAGATGACCTTGATAAAACAATTATTCATTGGAGAGGAAGCTTTAGAACTATTACAATGACAGCCAAATTTTTAAATCAGAATAATTGGTAAAGTCACATAAAAATAATGCCAGTCACCCATCCTTCTTGCCCCATTTAAACCCAACTGCACACAGTGATCCACTCCTTTGATTTAGAATTCAGCAGTAAAGGACCAGAAAGAAATGTTAGATCAAATGACATGGTGAACAAAATATCCACAGTGCATCACTGAGGGGAGATAAGGAATGCTGACATAGTACTCACCAAATTTTCTGAGGTCGATAGAATTATCTGAGGGTATAACAGTTAAAACTAAGCAAGCCTCAGCCTAGTCAGTGTCCAAATAGAGACAGCCTGGCCTGGGATCCCCAAGCAAGCTTATATGTTTCCCAAAGGAACAGAAGAAAGCCAATGAAATAAATAATACATTCATTTAGCCAAACAAATAAAATGAAAACTCTTCTGGAAAAACACTTCTTCTGACCATATTGGCTGAGATGGTACCAAAACAATCTTCACATTTCTAACAGACACTTAAGAAACATCACTGAAGCTAAAGCACAGCTAATAAGAACTCTGCTAAAAGTAACAGGGCTTTTTCTTTTATTTAGCAGCATAAATCTAGGCAGAGATATGGACTGACCTATTCTCCCTACCTTTGCAGTGCTTTCCATCGCCAGTGTAGCCAGATTTGCAGATGCATTTGTATGATTTGGGGGTATTCTGGCAGATGGCATCAATGTGGCAGTTGTCAGTCCCATCAACACATTCATCAATATCTGCAAAGGAAGGGGCAAAGTAATATCAGAAAAGCCTGTACTCTTGAGTTTCTTTAAATACAACACTCAACTTTTATCTTGTGAAGGTTTGAAATTTAAACCTTAACAGCAGGAAGAGCTGACTCGGCATCAGTGGGATCTCCCTTTGCTTTAGTGTTATATTCCAGAATGGTTTCATGAAATATTCTCTGGAGCAAGCGCTAACCAGTTCCCTTCTTTGTTGCACAACTGTAGCATCCAAGATAGATAATATTAGAGCATGCTAATAGAGGAAATTCAGTTAGCTATTTATGCATTCTACTTACCACCCTGGAGACCAACAAGAACTCATGTGATAGGAATGGGGTGAAAGGACCCATTCACTACCAATCAATGACAACCAGGAATGAAGCTCTCTAATGAGAAAAACACAACAGGTTTTTCCTAGCCAGATCATGCTATATACTCTTTTTGTACTGCTCAATTATTACCATCAGTGACGTAATTCATAAAGTACCTGACTAGATTAAAATATGATAAAGTCTGACCAGGTGTAGTGTGTTTTTTCTCTCTCAATCATTTTGATTACCACTGTTCTAGTGAGGGAGAGGAAAATATACACCTATCCCAAGATGCACTTACATATGGGACAAATGGCCCAAATCGGCACAAAGTTTCAATTCCATAGATTGGCTGAGAATTAAGGTGCCATTCTCAAGAGTTTCTTTACAAGCAAGCAACTCTGAAGTCCTTCTCAATGCAAACTTGGAACAAATCAGTGCTTGATACATAGCTCAAATGTGCAAGAAGCATGTATGACAGAGTTACGGTAGTTTCTTTGACTAGCTACATTTATTATACTAGACATAGCAATGAAAGAAAATTGCCTCTTATTTCTTTTTATTTAAAAAATGTTCAGCTTGAGTCTAGCTAGGATCAGCCTAATCTAAGTCCATTGAAATTAAGGTTTTTAGACACATCTGTTTGCATGGGATCAAGCCTTTTCTGTGTGTAATATAAACATGAAATGTAATAATTAACACTTAAAATAAACAATTGATATATTTACTTCTCATATAGCTCACTGTGGTTCTTCCTGCTCTCTGTAGTACACTATAATCTGTATTTTGTCAGAGAAGCTCATCTGGTATGGTGGTTTTTGCTTCAGTGCATGGAGTTGAACTACAATTGCAATCTGTCCCAGTCAGCATGATAAATTAGCAAGGATCATGGGATATATAATCCAAACTTTTGAACAATACTAGGTTGGGGAAGGCTGAACTAGAAGGTCATTGTGTCTCTGTTAGCACTACAGTTTTGTGATCCTGTGGTCAGCAACAGACACTATGGCAAATGTAACTGATCATGATCGCTTTATTTGGCTTCCATCTACTGGGCTTTGTAAATACAGTTGTTCAACTCACTCCTGCTAAACATCAACAATACAACTGATCTTTGTTCAACAAGGGATGCAATTCCTCTGGTAAGTGGTCAGATTTGGGTTGTGCCTGTCTCTTCAGTACAGACTTGTAGGTCTTCATAGCTTTTCCCTTCTTGTAATATAGGCATTGTTCACATACTAACCAAAAAGGTAAGGCCAGGGAATGATCAAAAGGTACACAATATGATTCTGTTGCTAAAGCTAAGCAGACCTGGCCCTACCTGACAGAACTCTGCAAGGAAACCATATATTGTCTGTTTTTTTTCCAAAATAAGTGAAAGAAATAAACTATTTCCGAAACATATAAGTATTAAATCATTTGGTATCTCATCAGATTTCATCACTTCAGCTGAGGTCTGTTTCTGCGCTTTTCATTTTCATATTTGTTACCCATCACTGATGTTGCAGTGAATGGATCATCTGGATGGGTTATTCCATTTCAAGTTGGTGTATTTGAGATTTTTATGCAGGAGTGCCAATATACATTTCTGAAATCCAAGTTGAAGATCAGTGTTGGACAACACCCCCCCCCCCCAAAAAAAAACCTGGCTCTGTAAGAAGATGGGGAAGGATTGAAGGCTGTCAGGAATGGGAAAATGTTTAATCTGGAGACTGTAAAGCTCTTGATAATGTTATTTTTCCAGCCAAAGTTATTATTTTCCTACATGTGTAGCATGGCATCCAAACTACATTCGGTTGTATTTTAGCCATAGCAAGACTACTAGAAAACTTTTAAATGGGACTGATGGCACCAGGCCTTAGAAGACACAAGGAAGATATGCTTAAATCCTTCCTTATTCCCTCCCAGATAGTTGCATATGCCAACTATCTTGCATTTGATTCCCAGAGGGTACTGTGTACATATCTAAATTCACTTTTAGCTACTGAACAACTTGGGGTTAGCAAAATCTAAAGAGCTGATATTTAGCAAGTTACTCTGCTTTGATCTCTAAATCCAGGTTTTGCAAGGTTTATTCCATTGAGCTTGCAGGAAAACTGACAAAGTTTTTTGTTCTGCCTCTCAACTTCAGCTCTTGAAAATATTGCTTTAATAGCCACTAGGAAAGCTTAATGAAACTAACCAGAAGAAAAGCAAAGATGAGTGATCAGATTTCAAAGTGGGCGGGCAAAGTAGGGATCAGTCATAAGTACAGTGGGCTCTTCTTCAAAGTAGTGAAGAACATACAAGTTTGTTCATCATAATCTTCAAGGAAGAGCATCACAGAATTGCCACTGACAAGAATGAAACTTCAAAGAAGCAAAGGAAACAGAAGTTCTAAAGCCAATGCTGTGATTGCCCAGATCCACCTCAACTGCTTATATAGGAGAACGTTCCCACAGTAATGACTGAAAAGCTCAGATCTTGTGTTTAGGGATATGTTCTATCCCATTGTCTATTTATTCAGGAACCACTAATTATGTGGGTTGGGTTTCAGGCTTATATATTGGTCATGTCAGCCATAAAAAATTGTTTTTGTCCACCAGAGTTTTCATTCCCTTTCCCTCCTAGCAGGGCTCTTTTGCTTGTAACTACTCCATAACAGAAATTCAATAGGTGAGCCATCAAGATGAGGTCCCTGAGAAATTTTCACAGGCTGAGTTTCTGTTATGCAGGTATTAAAAGACACTCCTGTGGTCCAAACTGAAAATCCACAGTGCAGTTATAGGCTTGATAGTTTTTTTACTAGATGAAGTAAAATTGCTCCAATACATGCTACTGGATGCTATGATAAAAACTGGAAATCAAGGGAGGAAAATCTTAAATGTTATAATGTAGTCCTTCTATTATTCTCATGTTTCCAGTATATTTTACTAGGAAGCTTTAATTTGTACCAGCAAGGCAGTACACACATATGTACCATACAAACATTTACACAATATATTCATATTTGTTATTTTACATTAGCCACAACCCAGAGTAACCACTGCACCCTGCGTCATCAATCTAGAATTTCAATGTGTCCCAAACCACTGGAGGCATGAAAAGATGTGTGATAAGGATGGAAAAACAGGATCCAACTTTTTATTGAAAGAGTCACTTCCTGGTGTGGTGATAAAGTAGCATTGTGCAATTATAATTTGGCCTGGTAGCATGCTCAGACTGCTCAGTTGGTGAGATTCTTAATTCTACACATATACTGAAGCCAAAGTGCATGAAAATACCAACATTTTTACCATGAACTAAAACTTTAAAATATGTACACTAATGCTTTTGGGGAACATTCTTCTACTCCAAGTTGAATCCCAGTCTAAGTAGTGTTGGAAGAAGGACACTTAATTCTGCTTTCCTGCCCCAATTTTGGTTTTAAAAAATTGCTACATGACTTATTAAAACATACATTGCTTCTTAAACAGAGACAAAGAAATATTCCTAGGTGGGTTTGGGGGCATTTTACTACCCAGAGCGAGATTCTAATCAATGTACCTTGGACTAGTAAAAGTACCGTACTATGCAAGTTTAGACAGAAATAAGCCCTACAACTCTCAGTATACCCTCTGCTGGAAGTTGTAGGACTCTTTTCTGTCTAAATGTGTAGGACAGTGCCCTAAATCTGCTTCCCTGGGTCAGTTTTTGCACAGATCATTGTTGACCCCATATGCTAATATTCACTAGGAAAAAAAGTGCCCTAATGGAAAAGACTGTTAACTATTTGGGGATATTGTTTGTGTCAGCTCATTTGTGTGTGTGGAAAAAAAGGGCAACAGGCTGGCATTCAGAAACACTGTTTAATACTGTGGAAGTAACAGTGTAGTAGAATACTGAAAGGAAGTGTTTTGGTCGCAGGGCTGAGATTTAATTATCAGCTGAGGACAGATTAACATTATGTAGCAGGCCCATAACTCCTGAAGCTTTTCCTCAGAAGCCCTGTCCCTCAAACCTGATGGCACTGGAGTCACTTTCTGCTGCAGAGGGGAGCATGAGGGGAGCGCGGAGTGTGTGTGTGTTTTATATGCACATTGCTAATCATCAAGACACCCTTCTTTAGCACTGGGAATCCCTGTTATCTTCAATCAGTGAAGAAAACAGAATCAAACTTGTAGACAGACTTGCTTCCCAGTGTTGTGCAATTATAACCTGGCCTGATAAAATGACTAACTCAGCTGGTACTGCCAAGATTAATAATTTCACCAAATATACTGAAGCCAAAACTAATTGCTGGTGAGTATCTCAACAACTTTATCATGAACTAACGCTTTTAAAATTTGCACAAATGCTTTTATTTTTCTACTCCAAGTGGCTGGAAAGGAGAGCACATCTCTTCTTCCAGCACTAAAGAAAAACAGTTTTTCTCTAGCACAACCTGACCTGGGAGAGAATTTCCACAAGCTGTATGGGGAATTGCCAAGGACAAGCTTTCACCTATGAGCTGGAGCATCCCATTCCTGTCCTAGAAGGGCTACATGGTAGGACTAATTCTGCAATGAAAAATGTATCCTGAGGGTAAGATTTGTCCCATTACTGGCCATGAAGATTTTTAAAAAGGCTATTTTCATAATACATACTTAAAGAAGTTTTTGCATTTCCTAGAATGATACTAAGGTTGTCAAACTATACTTGCCTGATGATGATGATGATGAT